GGCGCAGGCAAAGGCCGGGACGCATGGTATGCTCGTTCAGAACGAGCTATCAAATCGGAAGGAATAGCTCGCGAGTCGCATATGCAAACACGTATAGTGCTCCACCGCACAGGCACAAAAATGTGCTGAAAATGGCTCATGAATTACCATGGGTCGGCCATTTAGAAGAGCGGAAAAGAGTACAACGCTTGAAAAGCTCAATTTACTGGCCACAGATGTCGCGAGACGTAAACGAGTACTGCAGATTGGGCTATGAATGTCAGGTGAAACCTCCAACGAGGCACATAGATAAGGTCCCAGTAACGCCTTTGACCAGGCCCAGCGCGCCCTTTCAGACAGTAAACATAGACTGCACCGGTTTTATTGTACCTTTCTCGGCTAGAGGACACCGTTATGCTCTTTGTGTCGTAGACTTGCATGCCAGTTGGCCAGAAGTAGGATGCCTCCATTCACTAACGGCAAAGGCTGCCCGTGAAGCGCTACTGCAGATATTTCCTGAACATGGGGTACCATAGACAATTTGCTCAGATGAGGGCACCCACTTCACATCAACGTTGACACAGAAGATGTTGCAAAGACTGGAGGCAACACCGAAGTTGTACACACCTGATCACCCACAAAGCAATGGCTTAGTGGAACGTTGGAACGGCACGTTCGAAATAATGCTTTCTCATATATTCAGTGAACATGGACGTAAGTGAGATAGGATGATTACGTTTTTGTTGTGGGCATATCGTGAGGTTCTACAAGTGACTACAGGGTGGTCACCGTTCGAGCTCATGTACGGGCGGCTGTCGAATGTGCCCCTATTCATTCTCAAAAGGACTTGATCAGGAAACTGGGAAGCCCCGGAATCGCTGGGTATACCAGCAGTGGAATATATCGCGAAGCTCCAAAGTAGTTTGGAAGAAGCTTGCGGAGGAGCCGCCCAACAGAGAGAAGTCAGTCAGAAAGTGTACGCAGGACGCTATAACTTGAGGGCCACAGACAAACAGATTGTCACAGGGGACCCAATATTATGGCTCGAGAAGGAAGGAGAGGGGAAGCTAGTGGCGAAATCACCCATCAGGATAATAAGATTCGCGCATATCACACCCGAGTAACTGCAGTTGAAGTGATATTCGGGGGCAATCAGGAGATCCCGGCTCCCGAAACGAAGAGACAACTTCGTAGTTTCATAGGAATATAGCCAACTAATATAGAGAGTATACGTGCCCGAGTACTCCAAAGCCTATGACCAACCTTGATTGCTGACGGATTCCGCAGATATTACGTTGGAATAAAGAGGCGCAGGGAGCTTTTGGCAAGGTGGAAAACCATCTAGTGCAAGCGTCGGCGTTGCAGGCCCCATATCGGACGGAAGAATTTATCCTCGCCACAGATGCGTCTGATTACGCTGTTAGTGAGTGCCTAGCACAGCAGGATCTGGAGGACAATGAACGCCCTATCGCTTTTCTGAGCACGGAGCTTATATAGCCCGGCTCAGACCCAAGAGGCCACAATAGAAAAGGAAGCTTCTGCTGTAACTTTGGCACTAGGGAAGTCGACGCTTGGCTGTTTAGCGCTAAAACCAAGGTGATTACTGATCATAACCTACTCAAATTTCTGACTCCAACCGTGCACTCCGCAGAGAGCGAGGCTGACACGCTGGCGTTAGCGCTACAGAAGTATAACCTGGAAGTTGAACACAAAATGGGTGTCTAAACTCTAATGCCGACGCGATTTCACGGTTGGCGACTCCTAACGATGACGTATAAACGGGCCAGGGTGTTAAGGGGGGTGAACGCTTTGTTAGCGCGTGCGCGCGACAGAGTCAATTGGGTACAAGTGACAGTAGTGCCTCATCTGTCGCGCCGGTGAACATGTGCGAATATGCGGTTTTGTTTGTATCGCATGCCATAGATACCATCCAACACAGTTGAATGGGAGGAGGGGCATTGAGGTTGAACATCATAAGTTAGCCGAACACCTTTATATTGTTATTCCTCCCACGGCCGACGTCCCACGCCAAGACGAAAGCGGTGAATCGGAGAACGACTGTCTGCTGGTAACAAAGACGCGAAGACGCACGTCTCCCGTGGGGTTTATTTATGGTGTCTTGCAGAAGACCGTGGCTACACAGTGACCGAGCCACTGTACATGGATTGAAAGCGTCCTTGCACCTTTACGGTGACAACCAAAGTTCAGTTCAGTTTATTTCCTTAAAGGCCCCGTTTATAGGGGTATTACATAAGGGGTGGGGACAACATGTGTTAGCGTCCTCTATCCCGCTTTTGGTAAAATTTAGGGTGTCGCCAATATGGCCGTAAAAAGGTGAAATATGATAGAAGACACCACACAGGACTCATGCACTGTCAAGAAAATGTAAACGAAAGAAGGCTGTATTTAATTAAGAAAACTAGGTTACAATATTACTCGCGCATCCGTTCCATTCCGCACATCGCACAACCGCTCAAGTCGCTCGCAATTCGCAGACTCTTGTTCGCTCGCCGTTCTCGCTGCGTCTCTTCCCGCGCTTTCTCGCTCTACTCTCTCGACCACAGATCCGAGCACACATACGCGCACGCTGACACAAACGCGCACGCACCACACACACACAAACGTGCACAAATTGTTCCACGAAGTCAGTGGGGGAAGTCCGTCGCTTCGCCATTCGGGGAAGCAGTGTCGAACGTCCCACAGGCCACGGATGCACAAAGCGGCATGTTTCCCTCTTCTTGCACCCGAACTCACAAGGTGCAATAAAGCGGGCCGCCGCCTTTGTGCTGACCCGGCGCCCGCAGCTCTAGGAGGCTCGCCGATCGCTGCTGCTCGTAAACAAGGAGGACGACCCCCTCGAGTGACCAACGGACACTCGCACGACCACACGCAAAAAGAAAGAAATAAAACAAAACTTAGAAAATTTGAGGCAGTCGCGTACACATGTAATGGGCGAATCCAAATAAAAATCAAAACCAATAGAACTTTGGAAAAAGAGGAGAAAGTAAAAGAAAGAAATGTTGATACACTGTGAAAATGAGAACACGCGCTAAGTAAATGATTTGGTAACATTAGAATAAACAACATGATGTGGCAATATAACGTAATAATCATTGAAGATCTTGCACAAAAATAACACTGTACAAATAAATACAACAATAACAAACAATGAACACTGTAGAAATAAAGACTCGCGTTAAGTACAATCAATGGCAACTAATTTGGTAAAACAGAAGACACAGCAGCATAGAACACGTGACGGTTATTTGTAGATACAACATGGTGCGGAAGGGCAATCCACTCTGACGCTGTACGAGAAAAAAAATGAAGTAGAGAAGGTAGTAGTGTGTGTAAGCGGTTTGGAAACCTGTAGCGGGTGACCAGTGCGTTGCGACATTCTTGATGGTGGGGTGATGTACGGCATGCGGTTAAGTGAACTGTAAAAAAACTTATGAAAAAGACCACGGCTAGATATCGTACGACGGTGTAAGAGGGATTGTAGTTTAGATTCTTCTTTTAGGGCGGATATGCTTACGTCATATAAGTAGGATGAATGAATGAATCTTCCTGCGCGATTTTGAGGAGACTCAAGTGCGTTGATGACGTATTTTTGATATGGTTCCCAGATTGGTGAAGCATGTTCAACTTTAGGCCTGATTAGTGTTATGTACGCTAGTAATCTTACGTCGCGTGGGACATGACTTAAGTGGCACCTCAAGAAGCCGGGTGATTGGATCACCGATGACAGAATGCTATTTATATGAGTGCCCCGGTTAAGATCAAATGAAATTAAGACTCCTAGGTCCCTGAATGTTGAGACTGTTTCAATGAGACTATTGGCTATCATGTAAGGAAAAGTAAGGGGGCTGTGACTACGGGTAAATGATATACGTTTGCCTTTCTTTTGGATTGAGAGTCATTAGCCACCGGGTACATTAAGACTGCACGTGGTTAAGATTTCGCTGTAATGTATCTGCGTCAGTAATATTGTTAATAGTATTAACAACAAAGACAGCGGCAACAGGGGCAATGACGCACCGGGCAATTGTATTGATGGCCCATCAGCACAGCATTGCAATACCCGGAGTTGCGTATACCCATCAGTGTTGCAGCAGAATGGGCGCTGTTACGACCGGCCCTAGGGAACCAAGCAAGAGGAGTTTGGGGGAGAACCGGTTCTTGACCGACTGTGTCGTCCACCCCCACCTCCCCATTCAGGCTTCTCCTCTCGCCGGGAGAACTCCGGAATCTGCTGTGCGTTCGTGACCATGTTTGGGCATTTTTTAGGGCGCCTTGACCATATATGGACATCGTGTTAGGTGGTGCCACTCCATGTGTTGTGAGAGGTGTTTCCCCCTCCCTCGTGGCCGAGGTGCCGGGGACACCGTATTGGCTGACGATGCGGACAGTGCGCCCAGTGTCGGCAACGCGGCGCTATAAAATGCCGAAGACGTTTTGTATCTCTCTCTCTTCTCTCTTTGGATCAGTTGATCACTTCTCCACATGTAAATAAATCTCTGTCGTTTGTTCGGGCGCTTCTTTCTCGCTGAATTGTTGGACGATGGATCCTGCGACGGGGCCAGCTACCGAAAACGAGACCGGCAGGACCCGGAGTTCCAACAGCGCTTCCATTCGATTCCAATCTCATTCGAAGGATTGAAGCTTGTTGCATTTTCATTCAATGCGATTTCTCGGAATGAAAAAAACTTAGCCCATTCTCTCTTCGGGAATGGCTTGGCAGCTCAATTCCATTCCTGTTATTGATTTTTCAACGTCACAAAGCCATCTTGATATGTTTATCGGGTTAATAATGAACACCCGTAAAGCTGATATCAGATGCATTGAGAACTGCAAAAGTACGCAAAAAACGTTAACAGGAATGAATACCTCGGTTACATATCTGACGGGCAAAAGCACCCAGGTGTCCAGACAGAGGGGGAGGGGCAGTATTACATAACGAGAGGGTGTTATTATTAGGTGAGACGGCACACTAGCTGATGTACGGTACGAAAGATTGCAGTGAGCTCAAGCATCGCGCCAGCGTCAATAGGCATCACAAGTTAGAGAAGCGGTTCTTAGAATATGTATGGGAACTGAATCGAGATGGCACGGCGACTGCCTGAAGGACAGCATGCCTAAACCACCATTGCTTTTTGCGCAGATTCTGCCGTGGTTTATCGCCGATCTGCCGGCAGCAAACGACTGGATTGAAGTGGAATTCTCCGGAAGCCTCAGCGTGGCAATGCTACGCGGACCATCAACTTGACAACGCCTACCCTGGCCTACCCTGCTGGAGTGACGTCACCCTTGAACAGTCTATAAAAGGTGCAACCATTCTGTGATCTCTTCAGAGGGCACGGCGACTGCCTGAAGGACAGCATGCCTGAATCGCCACTGCTCTTAGCGCAGATTCTGTCGTGCTTTATCGCCGTTCTGCCGACAGCAAACAACTGGATTGAACTGGAATTCTCCGGTGGGCCTCAGCGTGGCTATAATACCGCGGACCATCAACTTGACAACGCCTACCCTGCTGGAGTGATGTCACCCCTGAAGAGTCTACAAAAGGCGCAACCCTTTTGTGAATCACCACTGCTCTTTGCGCAGGTTAGTTCACTAGGCCATTTGGCTGGTTATCGTAGCGATGATAGATTTTTATTGGTCCTGCCGTGCCCTCAGAAGTGTTTCGCAATTTTGTCTGACTGCTGGTCAATGTTCATGTTGTGGCTTGTGTCCTGAGACATCGAAGAAAATCCAGTACCAACTTCTGGTCAGGAGGTTACAGAAATGTTACAGGCTATTAATGAGAGGTAAGAAGAACGTGACCGCAAAATGGATACCATACGAAAAGAAATTGCCGTTGTCAATGCTAAAACTGATAAGTTACAAGGTATTCTGACAGTCCTTGAAGACATGAATAAAAGGATTCGGACATTAAAATCGGTTGTTCAACTGCAAGCGTCTAAGTTAATTGAGTATGAAATTGTAAGTAGGCGGTAGCAACCTTTTAGTGTTTGGAATCGCCGAAAGTGGTGATGAAACAGAAACCAAACTCGGAGAAAAGGTCCTTGACGATATTTTTGACAGAACTCGAGAGGTTTTTTTTTTTTGAGAACGGTAGAAAGCATCTACCGCATTGGTCAGGCGAAACAGAATAAGCCGAGATCCATTATTACGAAGTTCTTTGATTCCAGGGAAGAGCATAGCGTTTTAAAGACTTGTTTCTAGCTGAAAGCCACTAATGTGCGGGTAAGCCAAGATTATGCTAAAGAAACAGCAGAAATAAGAAGCAAGCTTTGGGAAAGTACAGCATCGGATCGGTCGAAAGGCATGAAAGTCCAGCTTGTCTACGATAAAATAAAAGTAAAAGGAAAAACGTACACATGGGACCTCACCCAAGATAAGCGCATACCGTGTGCGGTTGAAGGAAGTAGACTAAATAAAGATAAGAAGGAAAAGGCTCAGGTCACGAACTACCCGCGTGACTCACACAGCCCAACAAGTTCGCGATTAACGCCCACCTCATCGGTAGCATCATAGCTAGGTTTTGTTTTTCTAAACGCACGCACCATTGCTAACAAGACAAATGATCTGGAATATTTGCTGATTTCTCAGTCCTCATATGGTCTTTATAACAGAAACTTGGATGCATTGTGGTATACATACTAACGTAAAAATTCCCCGTAGATATAAAATGTTCAGCAAGGACAGATTCCCGTGGTGGGAAAGTGTGTATAATTAAAAAAAATCTGTTTGTGCGTGCATAATAGACTGTGACATTCCCGAAACAGTTTAGTGTAGAATTATTTTGAAAGTGTTGCTTATGTGGTTGGCGATATATCGTCCACCTTCGGCCTGCTGAGAATTTTTTAACCAGTTGAACACATTCTTCGGCACCAATGTACATACAAGCACACTTCTAATTATGGCTGGGTACTTCAATTTACCGAATATTAATTGGCAGGACCTGGTTTACAATGACGTTGAAAAGTCTAGTGCAGATGAACAATTGGATATACTGTTTTTTAATCTAAATCAAGTTGTTCATGAATATACACGACCAACTCCTACATCATAGTCTTTGTTAGATCTGGTGTTCCTATCAAACAATATTGAGGAATATTGGTGTTCCATTGCGAATGGTATTTTTGACCATAAGATTATTAGTAAATTTGACAGCTAGCATACGTCCTACAGGAAAAACGCTATTACAATAGCTACAAAATACTCTAACAATGCTAATGACATTGCAGCTGTAGATTTCTTGGAATTCTCGTTTGGCCTTTTCGAACAACACGCAAACGAAAAAACAATAGACGAGTTGTGGAATGAATTCAAGGTTATAATAAACCATTGCGTGGAGCACTTTGTGTCATTCCATCTGAAAAAATCTAAACACCAAACATAGATTAACCGCGGTATTATTCATATGAAAAGAAAGCTAAAGTGGCTCCGGAAAAAGAAAAAAAAAGCCTCTGAAGAAACATTTAGACTTCGGTCACAATTGAGGCGCACTCTGGCGCTAAACAAAGAGCGTTTCTTTGATGAAACACTGACTTGATTTTAAAACTTCCCCACAAACATTCTCGAGGTATCTGAGCAGTAGATAAGATAAAGTTGAAGAAATCTCGAACGATACAGGAACGTTAACGCATTCAGCTGACGTTGCTGAATACGTCAATTACTTTTTCCAGTCTGTGTTAACCAAACATGCAAACACTAACGCTGGCGAGCACTTAGACTATTGTATACGTAAATCTCTGAAACAACTTATAATCAAACGGGAAGGAGTGCATGTTTGAACTACTCCTGAGTCTAGACGGGAAGAAATCTAGTGGACCTGACCAGATCTGTTCAGATTTTTCGAAGCGCTACGCTGAATGGATACCGTATTACCTTACAGTAATATTAGAGACATCGCTAAATACCCAAGTCCAAGGGTAACTTGGACTGGCACAGGGCAGTTGTCCACCGATATACAAAGGAGGGGATCGCAGACTTGTAAACAATTACAGCCCCATTTCACTCGCATGTGTTAGTTGCAAAATTTTGGAGCGCATCATCGCAAAACACATTTCAAAACTTCCTGAACAGAACAACTTATTATACTCATTCCAGCATGACTTTCGAGCTGGACTATCGACAATTACGCAATTATTCGAAGTTGTTCATAATTTTGCGGCCGCTTTAGACAATAAGCAACAAATTGACGTCATTTGTATAGACTTTGCAAAGGTTTTTGATAAAGTGACTCATGATGAGCTAATTTTTGAGCTTCAAGAAATTGGTATTGGTGGAACGCTAGAGACTTGGATAAAGTAATACTTGGGTAACCAAACACAGACAGTACATTTAAATGACAACTCGCCACGTCCACTCGAAGTGTTCTCGGGTGTTCCCCAGGGTTCTGTATTGGGCCATTTGTTATTTCTGATATATATCAACAATATTTTTTTCAATGGTTGAACACCCGGTATGAGTAAAACTCTTTGTAGATTACTGCTTCAATTATTCTACTGTAACGAGCAAGCACGATCAATTTAGGATTAGTCATTGCTTGGAAAAATTCCACCATTGGTGTAACTAACCTATGGGATATGAAAGTAAACTACAAAAAAGTCAACATATACACATATGACTGAAAAAAAACAGGCGTTATGCCCTTTAAATATTATGTTGACGGAAATTTACTCCTCCATACTAACCAATTTAAACATTTAGGCGTCACCCTTTATCAAAATTTGGCATGGCATTACACACATACGCAATGTGTGCTTGAAAGCGAACCAGAGACTAGGTTTACGACAAAACCTACATAAGGCTACGCAAGGTATAAAACTTGTAACGCACGAAACCATCGTTAGAAAACATACTACTATAGATTATGCCTCAGTCGTGTGGAGTCCTCACCAAGACAGCCTGAAAACAAAATTAGAAAAAGTTCAACACCGTGCCGTCCGCTTCATATGCACGTATTATCACCGGTTAGATTCTGTCACGCAGATGTTGGAGTCCTGTGAACTGGAATTGCTTGAGGCACGAAGACAAAAGAACCGGTTGAAAACTGTTTTCAGGATACTGTAAGGACAACTAAAAATTAACAAAGATTTGTACTTAGAAGTGCCAGGGAAACGAAGCAGTTGGGTTAATCACGACTGTGTTTTAGTACCGTACTCTTGTCGGAGTGATGAGTTTCGTAATTCTTTTTTTCCAGCTGCGATGGAGCTTTGGAGTGCGTTGCCAGGCATTGTAGTAAATGCAAGCGATCTTTGCCAATTCGAAAAATTGTTGGACATGTATTTGAGTGATGGAGCTGCCAGACGATAAGCCTGCATTTTTCCTTGGTTTTAGTTTATTTTTCTTTCTCCCAGCTGTGTTTAAGCCTTGTTTGCGTAGCCAGGCATTGCTGTAAATGCAGGCAGTGTTTGCCTATTTGTAAAGTGTTACACATTTATGAATTATTGCGCTACAACCTGACATAGATGTATATTGGTTGGTTTGTATTTGGTTGTACCCTCCCTCTAAGAGCCCTGAAGAGAGGTTTGACAGTATTATGAAATAAATATGCATCTGAGTCGAGGTCGGCGCCTGACGCAAAAAACAAATAAGTGATAGGTGGAGAAGCAGCAGGCGGCGGTGACGAGGGAAAAAAAGACCAGCATTGGCTAGGATTGGGTATGAAAGGTTATACGTAGTGTGAAGTTTGCATTAACGGACGAACGCACGCACGCACACAAGGACGGACTGACTGGCGGGCGACTTCACGCGAGGTGAGAGGAAGCCCGCCAGCGACACTCCATGAGCTTCCAGGCCTCCGGCGTAGCAGCTGTGTGACGTCACTTCTCCTGGGCCATGGGCAGCACGACCCCTGATAAGCCATGAGAAACTGGTCAAGCTCGGCCGGTATAGATTACACATGCAGTCTATTAATAAGAGTACCATGCTTGTAATCAGCCAGGCCACTTTAAACATACTGCTCGATTGTTAAACTTCAGGCTCTAACTAATCTCTAGAATACAGCGCGTACAACAAATGTACTAAAAATTGGGTGATCCCACGTGCAGTGGGAATCGATGATATGCGAAGCACGAATGAGGAATGTTGATTTGTCACATTAAAGTCAGCACAACTTTACAAGGCGAACGTAGCTTATGCCGTACATTACTTGCATGTCATAATTCTTATGTTTTGAAGCGTCAATAACCGTCGTCGTCTAATCTCGTCACGGAATACCAAATTTGGTATATGTGGAGCTAGCAAAACAGCCGCGACCGTACTATAGGCATAGACAGTAGTCATGCTTTACCTGACACGCATGCCATCATTATCGTGTTTGGACGAGTCATTTGCCTTCTTCGTCCATTCAAGTCACGTAATACCAAATTTAGTATATGTGAAGCTAGTGAAACAGCCATCAACACATCATGAGTAAGGTATGTTTGAACCAGTAGCATACCTTCGTCATCAATTCACGTCAGGTAATACCCAATTTGGTATATGTGAAGCCAGAACTACCGTGGTCGCATCTCTAGCGTGGAATAGTCTTGTTCCTGCATGACACGCATATCGTGATTATCACGTTGGCGCTGGTCATACATCTTTGTCATCCATTCACGCCACGTAATATACCAAATTGGGTATATGTGAAGCTAGCAGAACGACTGTGGGTGCATCTTGAGCGTTGAATGTAGTATTGTTCCTAGATAACACGCATATCGTGATGATCATCTTTGCATTGGTCATACACCTTTTTCTTTCAATCACGTCACGTAATACCAATTCTGGTATATGTGAAGCTGGCACATCTTGAGAGTGGCGTGTAGTCTCGTTCCTACATGACATGCATATTGTGATTATGATGTTTGCACCGGTCGCTGCTTGCCGCGCGATCGTGCCGATGGGCGGGACGGCGCCGAGGATGCTTCCCGCTAGTGCACTAGCGGGAAGCATCCAGCACTAGCGGGAAGCATCCCCACCATCGCCGGTGTTGCAGGTTAGCGAAGCCGATCGGGTTTGCGAATGGCGACGTCGCGCCTGGAACATTCACCTGGCGTGAGACAGGGAAGCTGAACGCAAGCATAGGCAGTGAACGGAAGGCGCAGCGACACCGATGTGGTGTGAGTCAAGTACGCTGATCGCGTTCGACAATAGAGACGGTGCGCGGGTAACCGACGAGACGCGAGTCAAGGAAGGCAAGTGCAAGCGTCTTCAACGCGTTCTTCCTCCCGTGACTTCGCGTTTCAAACACACGTTTACTCCAGTAAAAGCTCAACAGGGTTTCGCTTCAAACCGTTCTTCCAGCACTCGCGTTGACCGTGGTTTTAACAGGGTCAACGCCGTGCGCACCGCTGTTGCATCGCATCCCGTCAGAATTCCCTTCGGATAGATGGTCCACAGCTTTTTCTTCAGTTTTCATATATATAGATACGTATACATATACAATGAATGACGGCCACGGCGGCACCGACGGCAAAAGCCAGCCGAAAATATCCATATAATTGCTATCGCAATGAAAAGCTTGCTATGGTTAAAAAGCTTGGGCGAGTTGGTTCATATACATAAAAAAAAAAACAGCGCAAACAGAACAGGAAGGAAAGGAGGAGACAGGACAGAGTGCTCTGTACTGTCTCCTTCTTTCTTTCCTGCCGTTTTAGCGCTAGGTTTTTATTATTACGCAATAAAAAGATGAACCAAAAAACGTATTTATCCAGAGGATATCGGAGCGGTCGTTTCCTCAAGGTGCGACCATATATAAGCTCTCGTATTCGGCTTCCTTGGCAGCAGCATCAGATGTGCAACGAACGAGGCTGCGGAAAAATCAAACAAAACCTAACTGCTTTACTGCCTTCCCTTGCTACTTGATTTTTTTTATTCAACAATATCATTGTGTTATGAAGAAGGGTAGCCGTATTCGTGACGATGAGCAGCGAGAGAGTATGTTGTTGCCTCTGATAATGACGACACTAATAATAGTTTTGCCAAGCGACGCAGAATTCTTCTTTCCAGTACCTTCAGATGATATTAAGGCATATATTTTTTCCTTGTGTGCGGCGTGTTCGAATATTGCTGTTGTGACTTTTTATTTTATTTTGTATTTTCTGTTATGTAGAACTCCACCTATATATCAGCTGTTCTTTCCCAAATAGTTTTTAGTGGCAAGTCAGCTCCTGTCTGTGCTCTTTTTCTTCGTCGTCGTCTCATGTGCGCTGTTCAACCAAGATGTACTGTTACACAGTTGCTTAAATTTACGCACAACATTGCTTCTTCCCTTAAGGACTGAAGACAGATTGATGCTATATTTATTGACTATTTCAAGGTCTTTTACATGCTTTCCCAAGCCAAAGTTTTAGATTCTCCACAACTTATTGGCGAAAAAGCTGGTTGCTTGGATAGATGGTTGCTTGCGGTCGCGCTGATAATTTGTTACATTTAGCCGCGCGCAATCATCTGACATGCTGATTACTTCAGCGGTGCCTTAGGGCTATGTGCTTGGGTCGCTTTTGCTAAATATTTATAGAAAAACGAGGCAGCGATTACCGGTAGCACTGATAATAAGCTTAGAATGCATGCAGAGGACTGTATCTCTAAAATCATCTCTTAATACTCAAGATCAGGATGCGCCGAATATTTTTTCGTCATTTTGTCAAAACAAAAGCTGTGGTAACCTTTCAAACCAAAGACATCCTCTTTGTATTAAATATTCTAAAGGGACATTGTAAGTCTAGTACATGTAACGTATTTATATACATTGTTCTAACTCTTACGACAAATTTAAAATGTCACAACACGTGCAAACTATCTGCAACAATCCCTTGGAAAACTTCGGTATATCCAACGCACGTTGATTGATGTGTTGAATATTACGTACCAAAATCAGCGTTCGATTACGAAAGACTTTGTACTGAAGGGCTCCGGAAATTTCGACAACCTGGGTTTCTTCAACGAGCACCGGAATCTGAGCACACAAGCCTACAGCATTTTCTCCTCCATCGAAAATGTAGCCGCCGCAGCCAGGATTCCATCTTGCGACAAGCGGGTCAGCAGCCGAGTACTTCAGCCACTAGACCACCTCGGTGGGGCTCGGATGCGCGTTAAGCAACTCGACATAAGAATATTAATTTACAGTGCATAAGACTTGGCAGACTCGAATATGCGTCGGTTGTTCGGTCATGTCACATCAGACATGATATCGCTATGTCAGAATATGTTAAAAAAAACGATAAGCTTTATATTTTGTCGCCACGACCAGTGTTTTTCGCCTTCTTCGCATGCGCATGTTTTATCGCTGCGGCCCCTCGCGAAAATTGGCGCACTTGCCAGCGTGTCATCCTCTAGCTTAAGGTATAGTTCACGCCGGTTCAACTTTTTTAGCACCCATATCCCTCTTTGCATCTTCTGCACACTGTACCCGGCAATATGCCCCCTGAATATTGTGCCTGTTAGATATATTCAGAACTGTTTTGTCGCTCAACTTGTATTTGTGGAATGAGCCTAATGAGTCTCTGGGCAGACTCGGTGCTGAACAATTTGAACAAGAATTGCAAAACCATGCTTTTTTTGTGAACAATCTTTTTCAAAGTTGCTGAACATCTGTCTTACACCTGCTGTGTCACAAAAAATGAGACAGCAGTGTTTGCAAATAAATACGTCTAAAACCTGTTGATCATGTTAACTACTTTCCCCTTTCGAGGAAACAATCTTTTTTTTTAATTCTAGAAACGAATTTCTATCATGAACAACTGTAAGTTCTACCCAACCCCTCTTGTACCGCGCCGCCGCCAGCGATTTTGGCCCCGGCCATGGTGTGGCACCGGCACTCGGGTCCACCCTACACTTTCCTTGATTTTCCTGCGCGTCTTCTAATTGATGTTGTGTCTTACGTACAAAAGCGAGTCCTTTATTTCTCCTTATTGTATGACAAAATCTCGTACGATAGGACACGCCTCCAGAATAGATGCTATATACAAGTGCATGGTGTTTTTTTTTCGCCTTTAGATAAAAACATATTCTTCAGTGTTTTTTGGCAGGTTTCGTATAATGCGTAGCTCTTTACACTAAAGAGAAGAATGCCATTCGCAATTTTTAATACATATAAGCCGGCAAATATTTAGATACTTCAGATAATTAGCGGTTATAAATCTAGTTACTAATGAAAGGTGGAATTTTCCTTTATTTTTATTTACTCAATTTTCATGTCTTCAATGCAGATGCTTGCGTTACCTTCAGTTATATTCTCAAGAGGCATCGCGTTGGTGCAGGTGCCGGTGAACAACCGCCTATATACTGGCACCGGGAGGGCGCATTTCGGGATCTATGACGCCCTGACTGACTGAAAGTTATGGCAATCTGCAAAGAGCAAAGAGAAACCGTGAAAATTCTGCCGTAAGGTTAATAAACAAAGCCAAGCATACCGCAATCGTGATATATTTAATTCGCTTTTGTTGTTACAGGCAAGAAACAACAAAGTATAAACCGGAGAAGCCTGCACTTTTGTCGTCTATCGACAGGTAACTTTTTTCATTTAAGGAACGATCATGCGTGGGCGAGCGTCGTTACAGCGTCCGATATATAGCATGGAAGTGTGCATTCATGTATTTACCCACTGCATCTTACGTACATTTTTGCTTAATTGCACTCTCACAGAAGAAAGCTCTTGCGTAAGACGTTTATGGTGATCTGCGGGCCACGGTGTTTTAATTGCGATGATTTAACTATTAGATTTTGATGGGCATAATTGTTTTAGATGGCTAATGTATGATATATGCTGTGCATTGTTGTTTTATCGCGTCGGGGCAAGAGCTGGGAAGAAAAAAGGGGAAGACATTTACGAAGCCACCCGGTAGGGTTTCCTAGCAACGGCGGACCTATTTTTTACTCTGTGTGTGTGTGTGTGTGTGTGTGTGTGGTGTGTGTGTGTGTGTGTGTGTGTGTGTGTGTGTGTGTGTGTGTGTGTGTGTGTGTGTGTGTGTGTGTGTGTGTGTGTGTGTGTGGTGTGTGTGTGTGTGTGTGTGTGGTGTGTGTGTGTGTGTGTGTGTGTGTGTGTGTGTGTGGTGTGTGTGTGTGGTGTGTGTGTGTGTGGTGTGTGGTGTGTGTGTGTGTGTGTGTGTGTGTGTGTGTGTGTGTGTGTGTGTCGAGCAGGCGTCCTACGACTTCGTCGGCAAGTTACAAGTGCTGTTGATAGAGCAGCACTGCGTACAGATGTCATCGTGTTCGATACACTATGTTTTTGAAGTGGAGATTACTTAGCTAATTGGTCTATACTCGGTGAACTTTGGTTATCCAGGAGGTCGATCAAAGAGGTAAGTAATATGTGCCTACTGAGCGTACCTCAAGAAACACTTGATTATTTCGTTTGTATTATTGACATGAAAAGATAATTTTTGGGCAGGAAGCAAACTAATGCCAGTAGAGACAGATAACAAAGAATGACCACTGTCAGTGTACAGAGAAGAAAAATTTCAGAATCCTGGCTTCTTGCATACATATTCAAAGTGTAAGTAAATGAACAATATTTTTCGCAGAATACTGGTGGTGATCACAAAAAAAAAACACATTTGCAGTTGTCATTGCAATCCATGTCGCACATTGCAGCCTGCATTTCAGACACTGTTACTATTGTGTTGTCTCTAAATTAGCTAGGCACAAATCTTTTGCATGGTTACTAGACAACCAGTAAGAATTTGTGGCTTCTCTTGATGACTCCTGAGTGAAATGACCCAATAATTGAAATAATGCCCGTCATGAACAGGTGTAGCGTACTTTTCAGTAGGGCAAACAAAGAACATTGTTGGTGTACTAAAATTGGTGCAACATCCTTACGACATTGGTTACGTACTCCATACAATTTTGCTGTGTTTACTGCTGCTACTGATAAATTAACGACATGCTTATGGATTCATGCTATACACTTAATAAGTTCTGCAATACATTTTACTTCGCAGATGAGGCTGAAGTGTAAAGTCGTACTTAACAATGCTGCATTGATGTGCCCGTACCAAGGTTAGGAAAAAGCCGAATGAAGCCAATCTGTTTGACTTCTTGTGGTTACGCTGTGTTATAAATCGGCGAAAAAAAAGGTTGGCTTTTCTATCTTGATAATTATTTTTCTTTCCGAATCAATCACAAATGCCACGTTTTGCTGCCCGTCCGACTCGAACAGGTGAAACATCACTTATGTTTCCTGCATATTTTTACATTACTGGGTATGCTATACATCACGTGATTTGTCTGCATCATCTGGAGCTTGTCGATGAATTGAGGGGCTTGCATTTGGCTACCCTGGCTGTCATTGTGCCTGGAGCTTTTCAGCCTTTGCTGCCACCACCACAGTAGCCAACATGGGCATCACCATTTTTTCCCCTTTAACTTTTCTTTCCTCAGCAAGTCAGCCTCCGCAGCCTTCTGAAATGATGCACACAACTAATATATATATATATATATATATATATATATATATATATATATATATGATGTGTGTGTGTGTTTGTTTGTTTGTTTGTGTGACGTATGAAGTGATGGTTGGTAGCGGCAGAGGAGGAAGAAATGACAGTAGAATAAACATGGGGTATGAGCCAAGCGATGGAAAACCAGGAAGTGGGCCAAGCCTGCGAGATGGGGAGCAAGCTGCTCCAATGCGTGAAGACTCATTTTGACTCTTTGAGCCATCTTGCCGTTGTTTGGTATTTTCCCCATGTGTCAGCTGGTCTACCATGAACAAGGCGTCCTTATGACACGAATAGTGACCGTTAGGAGCCTTTGAAGAGCTGCGTCGTAAAAAACCAGGTGGTGGACCATGTAATCGAGACGAAGCATGAAAGGCACCAGTAGGGTGAGCGATGTCTCGTGTCGTATGTTGGTGCCACGACTTTGGAAATGCCGACTTTCGTAAAGAGAAACCTGGTGGAACGCCACGTTTCTTGAGAAATAAGCATGGACTGTGACGGTCAAGTGTGGTTGTATGCAGATGGTCGGTAATGAAGAAGTCCTTGTCGTAGTCATTAAAACGGGCAATCATCTCTTCCCTGATCTTTTGCCATGATTCGTCGTTTTCGAATATGTGTGTCAGGTAAAACTTGAATGCCTCACCGGAGATGTAGTCAGTGAAGTTGGTGATCATTTCCCGTTCCGACCATGATGCAGCGGTTGCGTGGTGCTCGAACAGGTCGAACCAGTCCTGTACAGGTCCATCGTCCGCTGCTCCGGTGTACTTGGGGATGGGAAGGTCGTCTGATGGTGCTGCCACGATGCTGGTCTTGGTGCAGTGTTGGGATGTACTTTCGTGGTCCACGTTCGGTCACTGCGTCTTGCTGAGACGTTCGGAGATGGTGGCTGGTTGATGAAGTGGCCGCCAGGTCTTCATCCTGCCAACTCGTGTGTGACGCTATGATGTATTGGTGACGTGGCCTGGCTCATACCCCATGTTTATTCTACTGTCACTTCATCATAGCGACTCAATGTTGTCAATGATGTGTGCCAACCATCTAGAGACAACCGCACACTATCGGCAATTTCCTAAGCAGTCCTCAACCATACGAAAGCCCAGCGCGCATCGACAACTGCCTCAAGACGAAAGTAACAGTAGAATAAACATGGGGTATGAGCCAGGCCACGTCACCAATACATCATAGCGTCATATATATATATATATATATATTATAATGTAAATGCAATAATATATAGTGTGAATACAGACAAAGCATGTTGGGCAATTGTCGAGTGTATACGCCATTGTCCACTACTCTGGAGGGACCTTGGCTGAGCGAACCGAGGAGTGGGTCGCAGCGGCACGGTTGAGGGTAGTGACGTACACATCTGAAGAGGTGGTCGAGCCGCCACTTCAGCGTAGCTCAGATGTGCATTTACCTCGGCACAGGCAAGAGAGCTCGGCAATGGTGAAGTGTCACGGGCAGATGGCAGAGCCGCGCAAACTTGCTCCTGGATGACCTGGCGAATGTTTGCTGGCAGAGGTGACGGTGGTTGGCCGGCTGTTGATAGCAGCGATAGCTGACGAGCGACCTCAGCACGAACAAACTCCTTGATCTGCGATAGCAGCGACTGAAGGTCAGATGTGGTGCTCAGGCTTGAGAGGGTGTCATCCAGGACGTTAGGGCATCGCGTATGAAGACCCTGTCGTCGCAGCTCGTCGAAACTCTGATACAACTCGATGACCTCGGAGACAGTGTCAGGGTTCTTCGAGAGCAGCATTTGAAAGGCGTCGTCGGAAATGCCTTTCATGATATGTCGCACCTTGTCAGTTTCTGCCATCGACGGGTCGACACGCCGGCAGAGGTAGAGGATGTCCTGTATGTAGCTGGTGAATGTCTCACCAGTTTGTTGGGACCGGCCTCGCAGGCGTTGTTCTGCGCGAAAATTGCGCACACCAGTGCGTTCAAAAAATGGTTTTGAAGGTCGTCCAAGTGGCGATATCCGCCTCGTGGTTTTTGTGCCACAGCTTGGCAACATCCGTTAAATAAAACATCGCGGTACCAAGCTTTGTGGGATCGTCCCATTTGTTAGTAACGCTGGCTCGTTCATAAGGTTCCAGCCAATCCATAACGTCTTTCTCGTCGGTGCCACTGAAGATGTCGGGTTCTCGCAAAAGCTGGGCACCGGGACAGCTTCTGCGTGGCGAAGCCGGTGGGGGTCTGAAGACAGCGTCGTCAGACATGACGGACGGCAGCTTTCGGCTACGCAGTTCCAGGACTGGGGAAGACCGCAGCACTCTCCACCAAAATATAATGTACATGCAAGGTCAAAAGCGGTATCAGCGTCGGTACAGAAGCAGCAAGAGCAGGCCGGGTGTACGGGCAGCGTCGCAGTAGCAACCAGGCAGTCTTGGCTCGTGCCTCGCGCCTACGTGTCAATGTCGCTGTAGTAGTGGGCATTCCTCTTCACTACACTTTATATATACTGCAGGTGTTTCTGCCTTGTCGCAGGTGTTGCTGCGTTGCCGTGCCATACAAGCTGATAACAGTTACGGACAGCTTGCCCGCGCAAGTACACTGTGTGCGGAATTTCCCTGTCTAAATAGAAGTTGGAGGTCATCATCGAGAGGGCTGCCATGCTCGCTGTTCTCGTCACCACTTCATCGCTGAGACTGTCAAAGCTCATGCCACCTTCAAAACAAAGTTTGTGCAACACTGCACATGCAGCAACAATATTGGAAGAACGTTCCGGTGTACGGTGCTGCTGGACGCAGTGAAAACGAATCTTCAGTAGCCCAATACAATGCTCCGCTATGGAATGCAATGAAGAATGTGCAGAGTTGCACTTGCCCTCTGCATTATCCATGTGAGGACAACCTTTCACCAGGACCACAAGCGTGATGTAATATCAGGGTTGTAGTTGGACCCAGGACCACCAGTAAAAAAAATTCGATGGGTTCACGAGTGCACACACACACACACAAACGCAAATATACTTACAGAAAAATACGGAAACGGTTATAACGCTTAGCTAAAGCTAAGGCAAAGTTGTCCAGTGCACTCCGCCCCTGAACGCGCGTGTGGATTAAAAATCTCTCGCCGTGTTTCCCGTGGCTTCTTGCTCGCCGCTCACTCGGGACAGTGCGCCTTAAGCTCGCTGGTGTCCTGTACAAGCTTTCAAACTGCTCTGCAGAGGGCACGGACATGCATTAGACCTCCCTGCCTAAAAGCGCATTCATGAGCAGAGCACCTAGTGCATTTCTGTACATTATTCGGCATTGTCACACTAGAAATAACAAACTCAACCTAACAAAATTCACATCCGCGTATAAGATTAAAACAACAAGGAAAACGCACACACTTTGTATTTATTTAATACTCATTTTATTTATTTATTTAAGACCCACAGCGCCCATATAGGCATTATAGTGGGGGAGGGGATACAAGGAAAGAACATGAAAATTTGCAGGTATACACAAGTTTACATCAGTTTGTGTAAAAAAAAAGAAAAAGAGGAAAGAAATATATTTGCAAGACACAAAACATACACATCTGCATCGAGCACAGCTGCGCGAGAAAAGTAATGTATTAGAGAGAAAAAATGCATAAAGCACAAAAATTCATGAGAATTCCACGATAATCAAAACAAAGTGCAGCATTCGGCTAGCCCAAGGGCAAATTAACCCCAAAAGAACATAGTTTACAATCAAGGTGCCATACAGATCATGATGACTGCCAGGTGCACACAGGTGCATATTTGGTGTAAAAGAACACAAAAACAAGGACAAAATGTCTGTTTACATTTCACGTTTTTTTTCCCCGTGCAAAGCGAGTTGCAGAAATAATGCAGGACATATTTTACTTAACGCACCCTAGACCACTGCTCGTATTTATTTTCAGTGCGTCAGAGCACCAGGCAACTCCGCCTACAATTACATATGTGTTATGGATGCAATTTACAATGACATATTTTCAGCACGTTTACTTAAGTAAAGCAAAACACTTCTGAAAAAGTCCAACAACAGAAGTCACAGGGGGGGCGGGGTGTAAGGGAGAAAGGGGCGGCTCGTGCCCCCTCCGGGCTGATTCATGGAGGGCAGAGCCTCGGTCTGACCTAGAATATTTTTATAAAGCTTGGCTTAGGCTCTCGTCCATTGGCAACGCACTGTTTATGCCAGCCTTTTCCTTTCAGGCTTTTAATACTCGCATCATTAGCAAGTGACAACTAGGAAGTCTGGGGCCATGGTTACATTGTGAACGAAGACACTAAATGACGATAATTGCGCTATTTGCACGGCTCTTGAGCAAAATAAGTACGGTATGTATAGATCAAGAAAACGAAAGTTTATTTTTATGTGACAGACGCATATTTATTACCTTTCTAATACTATCAATAAAACTTTCTCTTCATATATATGTAGGAGAGAAAGAGAATGTGGAATAGAAATTCGGCTCCCGCCGCTTCTGGGAATATGAGAATTCTCCGCCTATGATGCCGTTGATCTGTAAGCTAAACATTCCACAGCACGTGTGCTGCATTAAGCAGTATGTACTGTTCCTAAGTGATACCGCAAAGCTTATATTCAATATTTATGTGGCGATTTCATACTCGTAGTCTGGCGAGGATCAAAGGAAGCTTAATATGAGATATTCTGTTCGCATTCACAGTTGTATTGTTATTTAACTGCTAGAGTTGCCAATGGTGCTTGTTTCCATAATATTTTCTGATCACTGAATACAAGAAGGGCGAACTGTCTGTCCTCGAAGCGATTAAGTCTTGATCAGCTCTTATTTCTCGGCCACGCAATTAGCCGCCACGACATGGGCCCCGACCCTACAGAAGACGAACGCTAAGTGTAGCGTGTGCGAACGTGAACTAGCCACCCTTCGCCACATCATGTGGGGCGGGTGTAACAGTGGTGTGAACAATGGGAATGGGCAGTGCCAGGACGCCACGTATCGCGAAGAGGTGGGAGCGTGGATACGCTCCCAAGACTCAACCACACAACGAAGGGCCGTCCAGCGGCTTGAGGAGGCCCTGGCAAAGCAGACGAGAAAGGGAACCGACGCCCCGGACAACGGGAGCGGAGGAGCCCGAGTATCCAACGCCTAGCCGGAGCACAACGTCCTCAAGATCTAGGGGCTGGGACTATAGGACTAGTAGCCATAGTCTTCAGATAGGGAATACCCGCGCCCTGCGCTGCCGGTGACTTCCCGCACGCCGGATGCGCGAAAAATGTTTCTCTCTCTCTCAGAAGACGGCCGCCTTTGCAAACTTCCCGCAGCCCACAAACAAGAAAGCTGTACGCATGTTTCTGGGATTGTGCGCGTACTACAAGCGTTTTGTGAGGAACTTTTCCCATTAAGCATAGCCTGTCGCACACCTTACAGGAGCGGACACGCAATTCACGTGGAACGAACCTCAGTAAAGTGCGTTTGGAAAACTTCAGCGACAACTGCAGGCGCCGCCAATTCTAGGCCACTTAGACGAGAATGCAGAGACGGAAAAACATACGTACGCCAGTGGTGTAGCTCTAGGTGCCGTTCTGGTTCAGAAAAATGGTGGCCTCGAACGTGTTATCACAACGCCAGCAGGGCATTATCTAATGCTGAAAGCACAGGCGGAAGGCTTTCATATTCCCGGAGGGGGCGCGGCGCCGCCAGACTTGCTCTCTCATATTGCTGTCCGTCTCGTATTGCTGACCACGGCGCCAACTCCCTACTTGTTACTACCCCATGATCCGAATTTTGGAAGCCTGAAACAAAAGGAACGGGCATAAACGGTCCTCTGTGAAATAGCTATAAGACAGGATAATTAAGGGTTAGTCGGCGATGAATGAGAGCCTTAGCCCAGCTCTTGAAGAATATCCCAGGCAAGGGGTGGAGGGGGAGCTCTTCTTGCCCATGGTGCAGCCCGGAATAGCCCCCCCCCTCCCCCGTACTCTCCGCCTATGGCTGAAAAGACCTACTTGACGACTGAAAAGGCACTGAAACGGCGTTGGCGATTTTGTAGACACACATTGGGCCGGTAGACAAAGTTCCGAAGGTTATTTACAGACCTATTTGAGCTCTCTATGTACACTGTGTAATTTATTACAACGCTTTAAAGCTACGAATCGCTACAGATAGTTGCAACTCGCCCGAACGCGTTTTCAACCACCCATTCGGAGAGCGACAAGCTCTTGACTAGAAAAACATGTCAGCAGCACGTCACCGCGGCGTCTGATCTGATTGATTGTCAGAAGGTGTAAAATGCGCGGATGATTGGCTGGTAGTGTGGCGCCATCTGTCGGAGGAGATATGAACCACTCGGCGACCTTCGTTTTTTTTTTTTCCTGACGTGCTGTCGTGCTGCCGTGTTGGCATGCTGCGCACGCATTACGCGATGGCCCCCGAGACTACTTGCAAGCTGTCAGGGCGTGATTTCGAAGGTCTAGACGAATATAAACTACAATCGTCTAGCGGCGCAGCCGGCGCCCAGGAGACACTGCGATCGCTAGCGCTGCCAGCGCGCCTCATGAGTTGAGGAGGCGAGGCAGAGATGAGAAGGAGGTTAAGATATAATTGTCTGTAGTGGCCCTGGTACACGGCATATCACTAAATTTGTGGTGCGAATGGTGTGATGATGTTTAGCCTTAACGGTGACAAACCTTTAGACACTCCTTTGTAAGGGACCCCGAAATGGTGATAACCATTTCGGGGCCCCTTGACAAGGAGTGCCTTGGTATCGATTAGGCGTTGACTAAATTTTGCCCACACGCGTATGAAAAGCCATTCAGGATTCTCAATGACCATCACGCACTTTGCTGGCTGGTCAACCAGGAAGATCTTTCTGGTCCTTTAACCCGCTGGAGAGAATGCACCATTTTGGAGGACGATGTTCTCCAACACGGCATCCCCGAGGTCTACATCTACAACTTGACCACATTCACTACGTATGTCTTGGGTGGCTCGCCATCGTCTCCCGCGTTGTCGTCACCGTCTGCGCCCTGTGTCTTGCCGTATAACTCAATAATCTTGTCCACCGGATTGCGGCAGCCCTTGCACCGGCATCCACTGCAACTGATTCCAGCCGCGAAACAAGGACACCGCTGGCCAAGACACGTCAGAGGGATAGCTGCCGCGCTCGTCAAGCCACACCGACAGTGGCGTCGGGTAGCCGCTTCAGCAGGGCGCTGCAGAGACGGCGTGGTTGGCGTCAAACGGGGTGCGTCCGTCACTCTATGTTGCTGGCTTTCTGTGGTCAGCAGTGCCGATGCATCTGGAAGCTCGCTGCTAGTGGCTCGTGGTTGCGATCTGGGGGTTGGCACCACCGTCACTGCACGGGGCTGGTTACTTGTAATGCCGGATGCCGCTGTCGCCGACACAGGGAGTCGTGGTTGCAATCTCTGGGTTGGCACCACCGTCACTGCACGGGGTTGGTTACTTGTTGTAATGCCGGATGCCGGTGTCACCGACACAGGTAGTCGTGATTGCAATCTCTTGGTTGGCACCACCGTCACTGCACGGGGCTGGTTACTTGTAATGCCGGATGCCGCTGTCACCGACACGGGGAGTCGTGGTTGCAATCTCTGGGTTGGCACCCCCGTCACAGCACGGGGCTGGTTATTTGTAATGCCGGATGCCGCTGTCACCGACACGGGGAGTCGTGGTTGCAATCTCTGGGTTGGCACCACCGTCACTGCACGGGGCTGGTTACTTGTAATGCCGGATGCCGCTGTCACCGACACGGGGAGTCGTGGTTGCAATCTCTGGGTTGGCACCACCGTCACTTCACGGGGCTGGTTATTTGTTGTAATGCCGGATGCCGCTGTCACCGACACGGGGAGTTGAATTTCTAGATGCTGTCTGACAGTCGACTCGGAGGACGACAGCTTTGTTGTCACAGGGTGGATCTGTGGGCTTGGTATCGACGTGCGCAACCCAACGTTATCTAGGCACTGGATTTTTCTCTGCGACTGGACCCCTGCCGCTGACGAACTGTCACCCTCCAATGCAGTTTCCTCTGGAACAGAACAGCCGCTCTCCGACCCTAAAATAGAGTAAGAAATATCGAAGGTCAATTAGTGCTACATTCACTGCCAATAATTGGGTTACATGGAGTACTGAGACATGTATAAAGAGATTACTGCAACTGTTACTCTCGACAGAGCTTTAAATAAATCGGTCTTAGGGTAGCGCGTTGAGCAGCGGACACACCGTTTGCAGGTAAACTAAAATAGACCTCTGCTACTCAAGTGGAGTTCAGTGCACATGCGACACTCACGAAAATGCATACAGCGTGAACTCAGTCTCCATCAATGGCAGATTGAGTACATCTACAGCCACTGCCCCTCGGCGATGCAACTCACTCATGAAATGAGAGTTGCATGCAAAGTATTTTCATGATAGCAGACACCACGGAGACCAGCACTGGACAGGCGGGACGCCGAAAAAGGACACCTAGTGGAGAGTCGCAACACAACCCCGCTGCTCACGCTTAGCTGACCGGCCGCAGTGTACAGCGGTGAGATCACGCGCGTGCGCCGTTCCCACGTTATCACCAACAGCTCGAGCAGCCATTGTGCTAGTAATTCTATGGTTTAGAAAAAATACATTTATCTGAGAAATCACGACATATCCACGATGTGAATGATGACGAGTGGGGCGAAGCTCTCTGCAGCCCGTCCTCGTGGTAATACGAGTGCGCGTGCGTAAGACCAATGTCAGTGCCTTGTCCGCCGACATCTGGAACCTCAAGTCGTTCAGAAGTACGAGGCCGGACCACGAGTCCGGACGGACGCACGAACGAACGCATGGAAGCACGGACGGACTGAAGGACACTTCGCCCCACTCATCATCGTTCACTCCATGCATATGCTGAGAGATCGTTTTTATTGACATGCAATGCAATGCAACTGGCCACTACGACGACACGGGACGTACGACCCACGGCGCAAGGAGCTTCGCCTCTAAAACGTAGCTGATCGCTCTTTCAATAAATCGGTATAACACCAAACTAAAACGTGTCTTCACAGAGGTAGTTTAGCATTTATTGTGCATCATTTCTGATTATTCATATGTGGGGTTTAACATCCCAAAACCACCATATGATTATGAGAGCCATTGTAGTGGAGAGCTCCGGAAATTTAGACCACCTGGGGTTCTTTATTGTGCACCGAAACCTGAGTACACGGGCCTACATTTCCGCCTCCATTGAAAATGCAGCCGCCGCAGCCGGGATTCGCTCCCGCGACATGCGAATCAGCAGCCGAGTACCTTAGCCACTAGACCACCACGGCGGGGCTTATGCATCGTTTCTCCAAATGGGTGAAGGAATTTAAGCAACTGCAACGAATTGCGAAATCACGCGAAGAAAATTGCAGCGCGCCTCAAGCAGAAAGCACGCACAAAATGAGCATACAAAGGACGAGCACGGACCAGCAACTGTCACGGCTCGACACTTAAACGCGCTGTTCAAACAGAAAGAAAGAAACGCGAAACGAACGTGCAAGTATACACATGACAAGCGCAATTAACTGTCACGAGCCTTCCTCCTTCGTGTGCGAGTAGCGTTCTCATTTCGCAAATAGTAGTAAGCGAAGTGATCTTTGAACCCTCCCGAATCGGGAGTTCGATAAGCGCGCGTGCCGGAGAGACCACGCTCCCTGGAGGCGGCGCTCAACGAAAAACGAGATGCGACGACGCTAGCGCGCCCGACGCTGCGGGTTCCTCGGTGCGCACGCCACATTGCAGACTGGGGTCATTCTTTGAAGGGTTGAAGGCCGCCTTCCGATCAGCGGCCGCAATTGAAAATAATAAACTTTTGGATAGTAGGCCAACATTCGCTATGCAATTTTTTGTCATTCTGAGAAGCGTGGTATCCGCTTAACACTTGCAAGTAATTTCATGCCAATTGTCCATGCAGTGGCTGACGACGATGAGGAATGATGATGCACCACAGTTAATAGGGGAGCAAGAACAAGCTTTAGTGATGGTTAGGAGCATTGGACGGCCCACTCGTTACACGATTCGTGTTGTGCGACGACCGGTTGTTCTTTCACTGTAGTAAAAAGCTTTATCAGTCGTATTGACGCGATTGTTTTCCCGAAATCAAGTCTGCCTAAGGCAAGCTTGACAACAAGTCATAGGCACCGCTGTGGCTCAGTGGTAGAATACTGGACTGGCACCCAGCGGACCCGTGTTCGAGCCTTACTGTGCCATTGGTGCTAGGTCATGCCTGCCTAAGGCAAGTTTGACAACACGTAATAAGCATCGGCGTAACTCAGTGGTATAGCGTATTAGACTGGCAAGAAGCGGACCCGGGTTCAAGCCCCACTGTGTCATTGGTGCAAAGTCATTGGCGGCGGCGGCGGACAACAACTGCGCGTGACCCGAAAAGTGATATTATAACAGCTTTCACTGTAAAAAAAAATTGACAGATCCAGTGTACCTGATTGATTTGTGGGCTTTAACGTCCCAAAACCACCATTTGATTATGAGAGACGCCGTAGTGAAGGGCTCCGGAAATTTTGGCCGCCTGGGGTTCTTTAACGTGCACCCAAATCTGAGTACACGGGCCTACAACATTTCCGCCTCCATCGGAAATGCAACCGCCGCAGCCGGGAATCGAACCCGCGACCTGCGGGTCAGCAGCCGAGTACCTTAGCCACTAGACCACCGCGGCGGGGCGATCCGGTGTACCTGGTAATCGATGTTATGCGAAGCGTGCCGATGCAAGGTGAATGTCTCGATTTATTTATTGAGCGAGACGTTATGAAGTGACACTCAATATATGTAAAAATACACGCACACACATACTTAAACGGCCGTATACGTTTTATATTAGCAGTTGTTTGCAGTTGCCTAACGATGACAACAACATTGATATTACCAACACCAGAAGCGGTAAGCTCACATGAAGCGCTATGGTGTTTGCGATGGGGTGCACGAGGATGGTAGCCCCCAACACTGCTACACAAATAAACCTCAGCGGATCGAGCTTAACAACAATTGAAGTTAAGCCAACATAATGCCTGCATTTTAGGACTACATATTGTCACAAGGTCATGGCGTCTACGAAGGGAGCAGACAGTAGTTGGATGATCAAACTGTTTATACAGCCGAACGTGTGGCCGATCAACGAAAAGTCAGGTTACAGTGATACACGCTGCTATTGAAAGTGGCGAACTGAGTGTCGTCCGTCGATCAACTGACAAGCGGCGAAGCACGTCAGCATTTATACATGTGCCGTCGAATATACAAACGTGATCACTGGCGGCCACGTAACTTCCACAATAAAATCATATGTTCGCGCTGCACGCGTTACCTAGTTTCCAGAGGACCAGTGAAGAAAGAAAAGAGAACGCGTCATTCGTCGAGATGACATTAACATCCGTTGTCTTCGAGACCCGAAGGTACGTGCGCGTCTACACAACATACTTCTAAGTCGCTCCACTTGCATCATCTCCTACATGTTCCCTTCTTTCTCTAAACAACGGTGTCGTGTGCGATTCTGACTTCTTAGCGCAAGCGCTCTCATCAGTAAATGTGCGTGGCATTACATTCTCAAAACAGGTGTTTTTCTTTCAGTGTCGCTTGATATTTCGCCTCAATCGCACCGCAGGCTTCTTGTCATACCCCCTTTACTCGATGGATAAAAAGAAGGAAGGGGTGCCAGTGTGTTGCTTAGTGCATCGGTAGTGTATAATTTTCTTGCCGGTGTTCCAATGGCATTTTGGCTGTATTCTAATTTTGATCCAGTCTCGCCAGCGCCTTAGTCTGATATGTTTTCTTGAAATATGCATTGAAGTACTTCAGCTGAGTTTAGATGCCTGCAGACCACTGCGGTAAAGCGATTTCAGAAGTGGTTGAGCAAGCCAAAATATTCAAGAACCATACCAATCAAAGTACCGGCAGGCAGTACAGTAGCAGCTACCACGTTGGCCACGCGGCTTCCTCTAGAAGCAGTTTTTCCCAATGCCTCAAGTTGTACTACCCATCAGTGCGGGAGGAGCCAGAACAGAAGTGGAAACGCCGCTCCTTTTTTTTTTTCTCCCTCAAAAGACATTTTTGTGAAAGATTTCGATGTCTGTTGCAATGGTGATCAGGCTGAAATTGTGCTGAATAACATACTTGTGGCAACAGGGAACGTTCTGCTCAATAGCCCTTAAGCAAAATTGCTGCCATCTGTAGGCCTTCGTGTGCATACCGCTATGTTAGAGGTTCGGCGAGGCGCAGTGCACACGCAGTCCACGTGTGTTTACGTATATGTAAGGCGTATCCACGTACGGCGCGAATTGGCTGATAATCGCAATGCCGACGTATTGATGCGTCCCTTGGTGCACACAGAGAGAAACTCTAAATGCTGAAGGAAAAAAAGAGTAAGCCGTGAATTTTGCTACTTTTTCAAGATAAGAACGTTTCCAGCATGTGCTCCGGCTACTGCTTCCGAAACACGTATTTGCGCTCTCCTTTACTAGCAAGTAAGACGTGCAATATAGCATTTGTACTCATGCTTCCTCAAATTGCTGCATGCCGAAGCAAGGCAGTTTTTGCAACGTTTTCGCCATCAGCCGTTCAACAAGTGAAGGCGACTCGTATACGCTTCGCGCAGAAGCCACGGTCACGTAACAAACTTTATCGCAGCTAATTGTACTACGTGCCCTGGTAGATTAGAGCTGGGGCTTTATGTGAGAGCGGAGCGCCGGCGGGTTGAGCCGACGACGCTTTCCGGCTTTCGCCTGTTCTTATCGCGCACCGCGAGTGGTTTTGGCTGGTGTGCGGCTGTTGCGAAGAAACGGCTACGTCTGACCACTCAGACTTTATCTACGCAAACTAGACTGTGTTGTTTGTCTCAAATAACCGTAAACAGCTACGCCACCACATTTTTTGCCTGTGTGGTTCATGTAGTATGAATTAAAAGTTGGAAACTTAAATACGTCGCCTTCCGAAGGAAACCACGTTTCGGAAACATCGCAACGTTAAAGCTTACTTGTGCTTCCATTAAAAAATATTCGAGTTCATCCTACTTATCATTTCCCGAACTACCCC